ACAGGATGCAGGGGAGGTGACAGGGATTAAGACAAGTAAAGGAGAAGAGACAGGGGGATCCTGAGCAGGAAGTCTGAAATGTCTGCTTAAAGTAAACAGTACCTTCTTCTTCCACATCTTTACTTTGAAGAAGATTGAGATGTGTGCTTGTTCATTGATACATAGCAGTCTCTATACCTCTGTGTTTGGAGGTGATGTGCATATTACTTGCAGACTGCACTGGCCTGAACTGCAGTAGCACACTGGATCCATTCACGGTGAAATAACCTGCTTGCGTTCCAGGAGAATCCCACGGCACAGATTTATGAGTGTCAAGTCCCCAACAAATGTGCGCACATGTTCGTATACCCTGCTGCTAGGAACAAAGAAGTCATTACATTGAAATATTTCCATTGTCTGCACTGTAACCCTAAACATGATCGTCACCAGTCCCTAAATTTACACTAATCCTGATTTATTATCAGGATGAGGAATTGAGCAACTGCATATGCTGTATTTATCACTTGACTTTTCCGTGGATTCAGTTATATTGAGATGAGATAGGACTCTAAAGTCACGCAAGGGTGTTTTCAGCTCCCTTTGGCTGCAGTGTGATTTTTCAACCCAAGAGCTAGATTACATTGTCTGCTTACAGAATGAAACAGTTACCTCATAGAGTATAATTGTTGCTATGACATCATGGAGTTTAAATAACCAAGGTGTTGCTTGCCTTTTTTAACAAATGTATAGCCAGGAATAGGTTTCTGTCTGATTTGAGTGAAAGATATTGAAGAAATGTGGATGTGAACAATGTTGGAAGTTCAGAGTCAAAATTCAGAATTACGTTTGCTTAATTTGTAAAAACTGCTGACCTAAATACAATATTAGTTCTTCTTTTGAGATATAATGATTTTGTGGTTCACTGGAAAGATCATTTACCCTTGAACTAGAAGATTTTCATTTTCACAGAGAAAGAATCAGAGCATTTATTCATATCATTATAAAGACATTTGTACAGCACTCTATTGCAATTTCTTTAAATGCTTTACTTTTGTAGTAACCACACAGCAATTTAATGGTAGAAAATTGCCACTGATCATAATGCTGTGTGGCTGTTCAGTTGTTTCTGATCTACTTGATGTCTATTTTTGTAGGTTGTTGTTGCATGTATAATAACTCAGTATATTATATGCCTCTATTGGGAGCCATTCTTTTGGATTGCTGTCTCCCATCCACCCTTCCAGTAATATACCCACCTCCATCCTGCTCTCGATGGGCTCTCAGCGACCACAGTGTTTGGTGTTAAAGGTGCACTTTTACTTTGCATTTAAGTGGATGGAAATGCAGATGTATGCAGAACTGTGGGTGGCTACTGTTAGTGATAGGAGCAGGTACAGCCCACTCAGAGGTCGAAGGGCGCAGTGGAGTTTGGAGAGAGGGGCCGGGGTGGTGCCCACACTGTCCTAGTGCCTCTTTACCTGAAAAAGACTCAAGGCAATGCGGCAGCCTCCACAGAGAGTGCACCAATGATTTAAAGGCTTTGCTATGATGACTCTGTGGAGTTAAACCAGGGCACCGCTGTTGTACTTAGGTACAAACCAAGTAAATATAATGAGGCTTTATTTGATCCACAACAGCAAACTTTGACCAGTCAACTTTTAGCTCTATTTTAGGGTGTTTGTGACCTGCAGTTTAAACTAACTCAATGATTTGGTGTTTGAGTTTGTAATTACATAATGTGTCATTTCTGATCCAGTTATATTACCAAGATTTGCTCTACCTTTATTTTACTGCATGCCTTCTCAGGACTTTTTTACATATTTACACTTGTATATTTACTCTTATATTTATACTTAATTGCCTTGAAGTGTAACAAAGTCATGTCTCTCATGCTTTGAGAATCCACAGCAGTTTATATTGTATATCTATTAAATCCAATAACACACGATATGACGCCTTCTCATGCGAACGGCGCGTCTTCCATGGTCAATTGCTGCTGAGCACATCAGTATATCCTGCAGTGTATACTAAGCAGTCACGCGTTTGTACTTGCTCAGCTGAATCCACTATACATCTGTTATCAATTCCCAGGCCTCAGTGGTATTGAACCCATGCCACAGTACCCTGGGCCTGCTCCTGCCCCCCTCAGCCCCACAGCTCCCCTCCTGTTGGGGCCTCCGTAGGGCGCTACAAACCCCTCAGCCATGCCGACCAAAATCCTCTCCTGGTCCAACATGATTTTTTCATTAAGCTGCCAAATTCCTGCACTCCAGTTGGATGTGATTTATCAACCGGGGGCTTCATTGCAAATTCATATGAAACAGACCCAGGTTCTGTCCCAGTCCTTATTATATTTCAAAGTGTACACAGCATTTATCGGTGTGTAAAAGTGGAGGATGCAAATGTGAGGATCTTTTTGGCATATTTTTAAGTTTTTACATGAAATGCTGAAAGATGTATTAAGCTGCAGTTTATTTAACACAATACGTAGTGTAAGAAAGTATATATTTTTTCTTATTATTTTGATATGTTGATGATATTTTCTGTTCCAAAAAAATGTGCTGTTCAAAGTACTGATATACCCATTTTTACTAGTTGTGTCCCAATAACAACCAGTAGGTCATATAATATATTATTTCAAATTAAATATTTGAATGGATTTACGTATTATTTGTTAATTAATGTTTTCAGTAACAGATAATACTGAACATGTTTTAAATACAATACCGTATATAAATTTTTTCTTGCGTATCCGTTTATCCTACATAGTCTTTCTTCCAGTTGTCCGACCAGGCTTTTTCTGTCATTTTATTTAATATTACCTCCACTTATCTTGTCTCTGTCCTGTTTTACTGAGGCAGAATTAGCCCCTGCTGTCCAGGTTGTGTCCAGTGCACACCAGTGAAAGTGCTGCTTTACAGGTGTGGCTGTTTGACATTGCAGAGCGAGTCTTCACGCAGTGGGGTGGGCCAGCTGTAGCCCTGTAGAGACTGCACTCTTGGCCAGGTTTATAGTGAATTATGGGCAATTGTAGGGCAGCCGGTCTCAAGTTCACTCCTATATAAACCTTGTGCTTTTTATGAGAAACAATAAAACTCCCAGGACTTTTTTTCCTACCTCCAGAAACCGGCTTTGAAGTTCCTCTCAGGTGCTATCATTTTTTAAAACTTGTCTTCTGGTAGATTTTTGAAGTAGGAGGAGCCTTCTTATTTTAATTTGAAACATGTGTCCTGACTAAAAGCAGTTTGCATGATGGATTTGGTGTTGTCTATAACTGAATCTGCCTCTCAAGCATCTTAGCTTACCTCAGATGTAAAAGGGGCCATGGAGGAAGAGGAGGAGGGCTCTAACAATATCCAGCAGCAGCACCTATTCATGACATCATGCATGGCTTCAAATGAGGAGAGAGACGAGAGCACGCACAGACACCCAACCTTTTAAAATCACCTAATAACTCTATTACACCGAGCAAAGGGGCTCACAAAACCGCAGAAAAAAAATCCTATTCTTTTTCTGCAAGCACTGTCTTAATGCACATTTTAGGTGTAGAAGTGAGAAATATGAAACCAAGGAGAAGGAAATACAATAGTCTTGGAAGCCCCAAAGCAATATTACAATATTGCCTGAAAATTAAACATGGGTAGAAATGGACACGAGCATTTCAGAGTGGTATAATATTATTATGCCTTTTTTCATGGTCTTGTCAACACCTGATTTTGACTTAATGCAGTTAAAGGTCTAACATTACCTTTGCTTTTACCAGCTTTCTTGGTAACTAGCACTCTAGAAAATGGTACAGTTCTTTAGATGACGTGTGACGTGTTTCATGCTAATTTGGCATTTTTAATAAAGGGTAAAATTAACATTGTAGCTATAGTTCATAAATGCATTTCACATTTTTGATGCTCAGACAACATATATCATATTTGTTGTAAAATGTTAACCTTATCAGAATCATTACAATCAACGTATACAATAAACTGCATTGACCGCCTGCTGTTGTATTTGTAACCACATTCAAATCAAACAACAATGAAAAAAACTTAAAAGACCCTGCAAACTTCTTGTGATTGACATTGATTACATGTGCTTCTTTCTCAGCTCAACCTGGAGTGAGTTCCTGGCAGACATGACACCGCAAGGCATGCTGGGAGTGGGTCCTTTGTATTGTGCACATGCAGAAACAATCAGAGTGATGCTTTAGGATAATGGTCAATACTTGTAGTACGCACTGGCCTTAGCCATATTGTGTTGGACTTGCATCATTGATTGAGCCATGCAGGAGGTAATTAGACTGGATCTGTGTGGTGTGACAAGAGCTTGTGGTGGTATGCTGTCACTGCTGGGTGTGTACCATGTTGTGATGCGGTGCGGGGCACGCTGGTGGGCCTGGAACACGCCTGTCCAAGTGTATTTAGAAGGAGCGCAGGGCTTGACAGGTCAATACCACTGCTGATTTCCTGTCCTCAGAAGGTTGTCCTCCTGTTGTGGAATGTTCCAGTTTGTCTTTCAGAGCGCTCAGTCCCCCACCTGCGCCACCATCCAAGGCCTGGCTTCCTCCACTAGAGAAAGAGAGAGAGTCGGGATTTAACGCGCTCTGATCAATATTTAGCATCCCATGCGTGAAACAGGCAGATGTTTGGAGTTTCCTTTTTAGAGACGGGAGGCTTGTGTTGAGTGAAGGGGATCAATGCTGCCTTTCCGTCTGAGAGGCTGGGCCCGGGGCTTCTGAAGGGGGCTGGTGGTGTTCCCATTCAGCCTCTGGGCCTTGGAGGTTTGCGTGGCCTCTCTTGGCCTGTTAGCCCACTGATACACACATTCGCACAGACAAAGTGGCCAGTTCAAACAGTTGTCCTGAAGTGAAGAGGTCTGGATGTTAAACAACAGCCCTGTGATTGGGAATTGATTTGTTCATTTGCCAACTGTGTGAGTGAAAGTGAGCCAGTGGTGCCTAGCCAGCTATCTGCCATCTACAATAACCTGGTTTTATGTGTGTCCTCTTCTCTCTCTCCCTCCTGCAGCACCTCCAGCAGCATGAGAACGCAGTGGAAGGTGATGCGTGCTACTACCACTGTGTGCTGTGTAACTACTCAACTAAGGCCAAGCTCAACCTGATCCAGCATGTGCGCTCCATGAAGCACCAGCGCAGTGAGAGCCTGAGGAAACTGCAGCGGCTCCAGAAAGGGCTGCCTGAGGAGGAGGACGACCTATCTTCAATCTTCACCATCCGCAAATGCCCCTCATCAGACACAGGTCAGGACCCTCCACTGCACATGTCTAATATTACATTGTACAAGCCTTTTTCTATCGATACACTTCTTCACATTCATTCACAACACATAAGTAAGAGCAGAAACTATAATTGGTAACACTTCAGAATAGCATTTCATGTGTAAAATGAATAATGCAAACTTTTTATTTATATCAAAGTGAAATTCATGCTTATTCTAAATTAGATTTGTATTTGAACAAACAATTATGTTTGTGTGGTAATAATAAATATGAAATTGTTAAATTCCTCACTACATATGTTTTATAGTTTATTCTTTACTATTATAATTGCATATTGATTTGGCATGGTTCACTAACCATTACTACTCCCTACCTTCTTCATTCACCTTGGCCTGATGAATTACTGTTTTGAAGAAATTATGTAGTTATTCTTAAGTTTTACCATATTATATGTAGAGTTTTGATTTATTTTTTTCTCAGGGACAATACAATCCATTGTTTGTTGATTTGTTTGTGAAACGCAGAGCTTTTCTTAATCGTTCTTATTTAATGGGGTTTAATAGCTGATTAAGGCACATTGAGATAAACAGGAGGAGGAGCTGAACAATAGTAGCAGCTGTTACAACAAACAAGAACACCAAAAACAGACCTTGCAAAACATCGGTGCAAAGAGTGACAAAGTGTCTGGAATGCTCATTTATTATGGGCTGATTAGGAAGACTGAACTGTGGTCAATTAACACTCTTTCTAAGCAGAGATTTGGTTTTCTAATCACTTTAACTCCGGTGCCCTGACAAAGGGGCTCTATTGTGCTCCCTATGAGCGGGAGCCATTACTCTCTCACACACATACTCACTGTCTGTGTTGTGGCTGAAAAAAGAGGGCCAGCCTGTGAAGACGCTTTGTTCCAAGGAGGCAGGGATAATGAAGCCAGCAGCCGGGAAATTGCGCAAAAGGCAGTAGCAGATCTGAAGCAAATCATTAGAGAACATATTTAGCTGAGCAATTAGGGACAATTAAGCTTTCTGTTCGCTGCACTGCAAATATGTTAACGACCAGAGTGCACTGGACATGCTAACATGTAGAATGCAAGAGGCAAGCTCTTTAGGTTTAAATGCTCTCAGATAGTTCTGTCTATTAACTGTAACACAGTGGGTTTAGCTGATTTTCACTTGAGTGTCTATCAATATCTTGCTTATTTAATATTTGCTGAATCTTTGTGGGGCACTTTTTATAATACAATTAGCATCTTTTATTATACACCATTTCCACAAAACGAGGATTCTTTTTTGTACTTAGACCCTTCTCTTTTTTATTTCGTAAATCAGTAATGACTGGATATAATGATTACACCAAGTACCAATTACCTAGGATTTTTAGTTGATCAAATTTTGGCTTCATGAGAGGAGGGGAAAAAAATGCTATTGCATGTTTGTAATTGCAAATCATATTTATGTTGTACTTAAGCTGTTTAGCTATATAATCTATGTTCATTCATAGCTTTCAAAAATTATTGCTAAATTGCAAGTTTATTGACTAGTTCTGTTTTGTTCTGTTTTTTCTGCAACAGCCAATAAACTTAACTATATAAGTCCAATGAGGTTCATTTGGTCTTCCGATAATTTATGTTATTAGGTTCTATTTTCAGACCAGAGTTTGTTTTCATACCTGACAGTTTCGACTGCTCACTAGCAGTCTTCCAACACACCTGAGTAACCATACAGAAAACTCAGGCAATTACTCATCCACCCAAAAGATAAAACAGAACTGGTGCATAAATGTAATGTCATATACGAAATACCCCATATGTGCTGCAATAAAATATACACTGGGGAAACAGGGAGGGCGTTCAGTACACGAAAAAAGGAACATAGGTCAGAATGCAAAAAGAAAACAACGAAGGCATGCACATGAGCAACAAACCACAAAGCAGAACAAGAACAACTCAAATCTGATCACTGTAAAAGAGAGAACCATATTTTGGGCTGGGATTCAGCAAACATCATTGGGACATAGTTACTGGATTAAACAGGCAAAATACAGAAACGTGTCCATGGGACTATATACCGGGGCGAGGGGGCTTTTTTACTCTCACACACCTGGGATACTGTCCTGAGGAATTCAGACTGCAGAGGGCGCTGTCATCCTGTCTCCACTGGTAGGAAGATAGCACCAAAATCTGTATAAATCAGCTGATCAGACACGTCACGGCATCACGTGACCACTCTGAAGAAGACCATTAGTGAGCAGTCGAAAATGTCCGGTATGAAAACAAACTCTTGATCTGAAAAAGAAAACCTCATAACATTAACTGTGTAATAATTGCATAAATTGCTGACTTTAGCCTCCATATCTTTAGCTTCAACTGCCTTAGCTCCTGTTGTCCTTCTCCGACTGGACCATTCCCACGCGTTGTAACATTTAATTTCCTCTTGACTAGCTCTTCTGTGGCACATGGCTCTTTTTTGTGGTTGAGCCACAGTTGCGAAAGTGGTGGAACTTTCCCTGGCTTGTTAAAACAAAGTTGCCCCTGGATTTCTGGGTCACCTCCGCAGTAATTCCCTGGCCTGCTTCTGTTCTCTAAATCCTACTGCCGTTATAGGTGCCGGCGCTGGGAATTCCCCAAACAAACTCACCTAAATAGCATTATACATAGAGATTTTTTTGCATTTGGTTGTGGTAGTCAACCAAAGACATTACATATTCACCTTTTTCTTGTTTTCCATGCAACTATCCCTAAAGCTGGTGTTCCTTCTGATGACATAGCATTCCCATTCTGTAGGGACTGGTGCCACATATAAATCCTTTGTGGCTGAATGTCCAAGGAGAGCAAGGGCAGCAGAAAACACAGGGTTCTTTCCAATTAGACTAACACAGGCATGAAAAGGCCATGTATTGTTTTAATTTTTGCTCAGAGTGAAAATATGCTGTTCGGGCATATACTGTATGAGTGTAGCTCCGCCCCTATTTCTTTTCCTTTAACCATGACATGTCTATGGGGAGACTAAGGAATCTTCAGAGTGACTGCACTTTCAATAAAGACCACTGATGTTTTTAGCTGTCCTGGTTATGTAAAAGAGCATATTGGGTTTACTGTATACACTAACAATTGTTCATTATATAAAGGTCTGTGTGTTCTTGTTTTAAAGTCAAAACACAGAAATAGACATGTTGATATAGAGGTTAAGAGGGCCTGAGTATTAGACAGAAAAAGGATATAGGAGGGTGTGTTTTAAGTTTAGGAGAACTTGTGTGACACTGAGTGTACAATGGCCCTATTCTGTGTGAATGATGTGCACCAGGGCATATAGCTCAGTGACACATTGGGGTTTCTAATTTCTTCACACATAATCGACCTAACTTACTTTTGCAGTTGGGCTGAACAGAATGAGATCATGTCGTCTAAAGGGCAAAGTTAAATTTCATTCCGAGCTTGGTCTCTGTCGTCAAAGTTGATTCTGCAAGAGAGACATTGTTAGGAAGTTATAAATAAGTCAAGTGTGTGCCTGGTGGTAGCATAGCATGTGTGGTTATGGATATGTAGGAGTCAAGATGGAGCAGAAAGTGATCTGACAGTGTGGATTAGCTCCTGCTGTAAATCTGCCTCAGTCACAGATGGCAGGCCCTTGATCGCTGGGCTGTGACGCTTTGGCTCTCATCGTGAGGAAATCCCTGTCTGCTGAGAAGGCTGGAGAAGGGGGCTTGGCAGAGACTGACTGGCATTGTACTGGAGAACAACATCTGGGCACTTAACAGTGGCTTCATACAGCATGATGGGAATGCTTGACAAGATCATGGTCAAAATAAGACCCATATTTTTTATAATAGTTTTGTGAAACTGGGCAGGACCATGGTACATTTTATGATAATATAAATGCACATGCACTTTGAGGGTCACGCCTTTTAACAAGCTCTTTTCCAACACAGGAGTTTTTTTTGCGCAACCCCCTTCTCGCTCTCATGTATAATTCTTGAGATACACCAAAATGATCTGTGATGTGAGAAAATGCATTTGTAAATTGAATACAGAAGAGCCATTTATATTGTAATGTGCAACAGATCAGTGCTATGATAGTGGTGATCCACATTCAGTTGGTCTAACAACAGTAATGTAATTATAATTCTGCAGATCTTTTCAGACCCTGCCCCCCTGTTTAGTAGAGGATTGGGGTTCCAGCTGCACTGTATGTCCAGTGGCTAGGCTCAGACCCTTTAAGATATTAGGACAGATAAATGCAGATGTGAGCCAGGCCACACTCTGCTGACATGCAGGGGCCAAGTTTTGAGCATTTTCTTCCTACAGGCATGCGCTAAACAGACAGCAGCAATTTCTGGAATGTTCTCTTTATTCATGCTTGTTAAAATGCAAAGTTAACCTTTTTAGAAACAGGATATTGTAGCTCCTAACCAGCAGACCACTTCTACATGCCACATTATGGCCAGTCTGCAGACACTGCAGCAATGCACTTTTAATAAAGGCTCTTATTGCCTCAGTGATGCAAAGTGGATATGAACATCAGGACTGGGCCCACAGTCCAGTAAGGCCGCAGTCGCCCACCTCTAATCCCACCCAAAGGCCATCTAGACTGCATAGGAAATTGTTTGCTGTCCACAGAACGTGCCAGGAAATTCATAAATACATGATTTTTCATTTTGAAAATATTACAGAAGACGAGACATTTATTAAAAAGACACAATGATGGCTTTATAGTTTTTCCAATGGTATTCATATTATTCTTGTGCCCATCTTTTTACTGGACAACATAAATACATTGTTTTTGCTGTTAAATTCTAATATTAGATAGACCACAAGTCTATGTTTACCAATAAGTTGCAGCCTGTTAAATATACCCCACCTATGTTTCATGTATAGCTACTATAGCTGACGTAAAAAGCCCCCAAACAGGAGGTGAATGCAAAAATAAAGTACCTCAACTGAAAGAAAAATACTAAACTTGAGCCTGTAGTCTGATTCAGTGTGCTTTCTGACACACAGGTGTAAATATGTGTCCTGTTTTATT